GTGAAGCCCCTGGGAGGGTCAGGGAAAAGCTATCAGCACTTAAGGCAACAGGCTTGGGCTTGGGCACGTCGACTGGGAGTTTGCTTGGGGCTGCCTCTCCTGACTTTCAGAGTTCACAATTCAGGACATTACGAAGCTGAGCGTGCAGCTTCAACTACAACACCGCTGTGCGGGGATGCCCATAGACGACCATAGCACTTCGAGAGCGATTCACGAACTTAACCCCGATGAGTAAGGAGAATCTGTCAAGCTCTCAGCGCCTCCCAGCTGTTCCTACTGATCCTGCCCTCAACAGGAAAAATTGGATGACTGTGCAGCCGGGAAGCTACTGAGAACGGCAGGGTTCCTGAGCAGCAAGACTTCCGGACGAGTGTTGTCCTATCCAACAGCCCAAGACTCGAAGACCTCAACCCCGATGTTATCAAGCCTGCAATTGCAGCATGTGTGCTGCCACGCAGAGACAACCCTACACTCTAAATTCTACACCTTAAACCCTGAACTCCTGAGGTGAAACACCGAAACCGAAACCCTAAACCCTAAGCGCTCCAGCCCTCGACCTTACGACTTACAACGGTCAACCTCCGTCTTCTTCAGTGTCGAGTTCTCGGCATGGGCTGTAGATTCATAATAGTCCTAATTATAAAAAAAAGTGTGGTACCAGGTCGTGATCGGAAGAGAGTGTTCCGGAATATATGCACCGAGGCAACACACAAACCTTCCACCATCGAAGTCTGAGACCTAGCCAGGTGTTTCAACCTGGTATCGCGGAAGGCAGTCAATCTCAAAACAGGAAGGCGTATCCAGATTCAGACGATGCAGACGACCCCTGCGTAGGCCCTACATGCCAGACTGCATAATCCAAAAGGAAGGCTGCCGAAGAGCTTGTGCAGCCTTTCGAAGGCTCAAAACTCACTCCTGAAGAAATGAAGCTGCCCAGAAGCATGCGATATCCGGGCGGCACCCCACCTGTAAACACCAAAGGAAAGGAGAAAGAACCAGAGATCCCCCATGCAACGGCAACGACTCCAGTTTGGTGTGGCTGCAACATGATAGACTCCCGCTTTAGCCTCCGTTTCCTTGATCTGCAGACTGAATCTCCGTCTTTCCTGCTGTTTTCTTACTGGTGCTTCGTGTGCCCGTCTCTGTGACTCTACATCGTAGACCACACCCTTCTGCAACATTTGCACTCCTTGCCTGTCTAACTACTGCAACTTCAAGCTGCTATGACTTTCCCGGACCGGCACAAACAGAGCTCTCCTCTCGCACAAGCAGATCGAGCAAAAGCATGGATCGAATCGTTTCCTCCGGACTTCGATCGGAGCGTTCAGGGTTCCCGAAACCCTGAACCGCTTATGCGCCTGTTGTGGTGGCAGGCGTGAGGAACTTGTAGACGATTCTGGGCAGTGGCGGCCAGATCAATTCAAGAGTGGCTGACGGGGGTGGAGGAGTCCGGGGCTCTTATGTTTCAATATCCCTAAGGGTCCATGTACCCAAATAGTATATACATTGGCCCCAATTTATCTCTATAGGGACTACATTAAGGCCAAAGTCTATACTATTTGGGTACATGGACCCCTAGGGTATACTAAATGTAGCTTATGGTTATTCAATATACTAATTGTTGCACCTGGCTCTTTCGTGTTTTCACCATAGCCCTGATCGAAGCCAGCGCCTACGGCGGCCTACGACAGTGCCTACGACTGCGACCACAAAACTGACAACAATTGAGACATGTGCAATCATGCGTTCTCGCTGCAGAACCTGAATTGCCAGAATCACCAAACCCCAGCTTGAGGAGCTTTTGCGCGCAAAGGCTCTGCACTATAAGAAGTCCGGCAGCCATAAACTGCGCACCAACTCCTTGAAAGGCACTTGGTGCTGGGATGATAGTCGGGACCCGATGTGCCGATTCAGGTTGTGTAGGCTGGACATCAACCGGCTTAACCGCAAGGGTTCACATCGGAAGACATGTTCATCTCTTCAACTCTCTGAAGCAGCTATACACGGTATCTTTGCATGATCCTACACCTACACTCGGGATTCAGGAAATGACAGAACCCACACATGCCTACAGGACTCAATGCAGCCGAAGGCACGCACTCCGTCGATGAAAACCGCCGGTACCAAACCCAGAGATACAAGGAGAATGGACCTCATGTCTGCATACTCACCCCACCAGATGGGCAAGCCTGGGATGCCCTGGGCGTCTGATGCACGTATTTACAAATTCCATTCTCTCAGAATCAATCGAAAAGTGTCGAGGGTGCCCCCCTCCGATTCTGCGCTTATCCCCGCGTCCTGAACAAAGAATCTCAACAATCTGATACAGGTAGGGTCGGGGTGGGGGGGGCTAACTCGGGCCGCGGCGTGTACATAGCTTTCAGAATGCCCCTCGCCGGGGTCTCTGCTCCGTAAACATGCTTCATGCCTGCACCGGATCAGGGGAGCCAAGATGAGAACAAGACTCTTTCCGGATCCTTCCCTCTACCAATGAAGCCATCGCCTTCGCCATCCGTGTAGAGGCCATAGCACACTGGAACCTAGGATCTACAGTACATGCCAGATACACTGACAAAGAACACCAATGTATCAATTCGTAAGGTCGGCGGGTGAGGGTTCTTTGACTTTAAAGCGGCCAGGTACTACCAGAACAGAAAGGAACTAATTGCTATGACTCTGTACGTAGCAGCCAAACAGAAAGGCCGTGAACTACTTCACATGCACTCTTTGCTTTGACGAAGGAACTTCTGTTTACGCCAAACTCAAGTCAGAAAACCGTTGACAGTATGGCTAGCTAATTCTGCATCGTGCACCACATCTGTGCGCTGTTCTATGGCCCTGGCCAGCACCACGATGTTGAGGGCCAACGAGGCAACGATGAATTCCCGCCCAAGTGCCATGGGCGGCCTGGCAAGGGAAGAGAAAAAGCATCACGACCCGAAAACGCCTGAACCTTGCAGGGCGAGTGGCAGGGCTGCGCGGTAAAGGTTGGACATGACTCAGGGTCGGCCGACCGATGGGTCAATTGGGCCCCAAAGGATTTCGAGCAGATTTCTGTCTGCGACCAAGCCGCAATACCTAAAACCTTTCAACATTTCTAACTCCTACTCCTACTCTAAAGCCCCAAAAGTGTACGGCAACGGCAAGGACCCATCCCACTCAAATCGCGGCTCGCACCGGTGGCGTCCAAGACTTCTGGTGGCTCTCCGGAAATGCCCGTCGCTCTAAGCTACCTTCACTTCGAAGATGCCTCATCTCTACATCTCAGATGCATGGCTCAAGCAAGGCTTCAGGAAGAAACCACTGTGCCCAAACCCAGAAAGATTCACAAGACCACAACATCATCAAGCCCTGCATTCCTGCATTCCAGCTTACCGCAGCTGCTCGTCAAACCCAAAGACTAACAGTGTAAAACGCTTATAATTCGCTTCTCTCTAGAGAGCGTAGGAATTTCCGGACCCGAGCCTCTTCGTGGATTGGCACCGGCTGTGCTGGCCAACGTAGCTCGGGCCGAATCCCGAATCGCGGAGCAGCTTAAAGAAGGGAACCCTAAACTCTAAGACCCTTAACCCAAGAACCCACGATCCTACCAAAACTCGAAGGCTGAAGCCTAAGGCCCTTAACCGCCCTTAAGCCCAAAACTTCTCAAACCCAAGGCTTAGGTCAGCAAGGCTTAGGATTTGAAGGGCGAGCACGGGAGCCTCGAGGTCCAACACAAGCCAAGAGGAGCGTCATGAAGTGTACTTTTTGGGTTTAGGGTTTCGACTTTAGGGTTTAGGGTTTAGAAGTGGGGTTTAGGGTTTGGGAGTGCTGGGGTTTCGGGTTCAGGGCTGGTCTTGAGGAAGGTGCAGGTGTCTTTTGGAGCTCCTTGCCGCTTAAATCTGTCAACAGAGCCGTAAAGGGGGGGGGGGAGTGGCACAAACCGCGGTCCATGGGCAACAGAAATTAAAGAAGTTACATGCGACTCAAACCCAATCATCACGCAAACACCAGTCCTAAAGTACAATCCTGACCAAGCCAGAAGTAGAAGCATAAACGTAAACCTGTGTGGTTTAAGCCCAAGACTCCGCAAAAGGACCGTGAGGACCTCCGCCACCAGGCTGTCGGCTCAATAGCCCCGTAGTATCCAAGTTTCCATCGGCACAGACACCGATGATGTCTTCGGAAGCTCACTCGGTGCACATGGCGGGTGAAGACTCGCTGGCCCGGGGGCAAGCTTGGAACTAGGAGCAGTCTTGAGTAGTGGTCTAGAGCTCGGCTCCGTTTGTATTCCAGTTCTTCCCCTGTCCACTTCACTGATATGATGATTAGGAAGGCACCTCTCAATCTTTCTCACTTACACATCTGTGAGCATTGTTGTGCCCAACTTCGGCTGGCAGTTCCAGCCCGAAGTCCAAAACATTGCAACATCCCCGCCATCCTTATTGCATGAATCCTTCTTTTCGCATTTAGCTTTCACAGCCGTTTTTAGAAGCCCTTGTCCAAAGAGGAGCACGAAGCCACGCCCCTGGCTTCTACGGCAGTCAGCTGTCACACCCGTACTGAACAAAGGTACTTGTCATTGCAGCACAGGCCAGGCTGAGCTCTGTTAAAGGAAACTACAGGTGGGGAGTTTGGGGTATATAGGGCTTCTATAAGGCTTCCAGAAGGTATATAGACCTTCTATAAGGCTCCTATAACGGTAACTACGCACCTGAAAATGTCCTAGATCTTGTCAAGCCTGCAGCCACTGAGAGCAAGGCGGAGATCCTGTTGTAAAGGACAGCACCTCACCTGAGCAGTTGCTACAACTCTGCACTGCCCTTGTCTTGCACAAAGCCTTGATATGTCATGGCAGTGTCTGCGGATCCAGGCATCTGTTTGGCGTTGGCTTTTCCGTTGAGCTGCATAGTGCAAGACTGAGAAGGCTTAGGCTTGTGCAATGTCACGCGATGGTTCTGTTGATCCGCAGGTGGAACAAGCTCCGAAACGAGTGCCTACAAGTATGAAAGCTAAGCTAACTTTCCTTTGGCCGCCTCCTTCACTGAAGTTTCACATGCGATGCAGTAAAAGCTGGCACAGCTATTCTGCTAGACCCAGCCCTGTAGTGGCGCGGCCGATGAACAAGCCACGGTTCAAAACAACGAAACGATCATACTACTGCTGATGGAAAACAGCACTTGAAACAATATCAAGGTTGTCATGACAAACTGGTACTGATACTGATACTGAAACTCATGATGGGTAATTAATTCCACGTGGTTCACCAGCCTCACGTCAAGGTGAAGATTCCAGTGAGCACCGACCCAAAAGCCCTCAAGATCCAGAGGCTCAAAAAACCCGAGGGCCGCGCGTACGCGCTCGCGAGACTTTTTCCAGCCCGTCCACCGTGCAGGGTAGCGCTCCTGATGTTTCCCAAGCCCCTAGACACCTCTGGGGGGGGGGATGAAACTCAACCTTAGATCCCGAACACTACATCTAAGGCCAAATCTGAACCTACGAAATCCCAAGGTTTGATGCCTCACAAAGTAATGACTCTTCCAAACTCGTGTAGTGACAAAGTGGCAGACAAGTCTGTCAGGCCGGGCCACAGGGCTTCGTTCTGAAACTTGTTTTGCTTCCTACTTAGCAAGGACGAGCCCGCATTGCAGAGTAGTGTTCTGAAACTTTGGGGCGAAGGGTTTAGTTTAGGGTCGATGTAGGGCCTAAGGCTTAGGAACGTCGAGGCTGGGCTCGGGCTGCGTGTTACACACCACAGCAAATCATAGTTTGATCATGGAATTCCGGCTAAACGCATGGGAATCGAGAAGTTGTGATTCCTTGTCGTTCTGGGCTTCTGCTGAAACCCGGCAGCCCTTTCTCGAAGGTCCTCTTCCAAAACATCAGCAGAACGAACCGCCCAGGGGTCGATCTCGACGACCTGGTGCTAAGTCAGCAGACCACAGACCCTAAGTGACTCGTCCAGATTGGGTCGGACGAAAGGAACTTGACGAAAGACTGGGTACTCCTCGTCGTAGTAGCAGCAGCAGGAGTAGGCTTTCCGATTTCCTGCCCTTCCCCCGGTTCAAAAGAACCCTTCGACGTTGCATCGCTAAACTCCGCTAAACCCTTCGCACCGACGGCTGCCCTGAAGCGTGGCGCAACGACCTACGGAAACGTGCGTGGGAAAGCGAGTCGCGCGGCGTGAGATTAGAGCGACCCCGGAACTGAGTGCACGATGTAGCAGTTTCATAATCCTCGGAAAGGGCTTCCGCAAGACCATGCTGCAAACAAATCGGACACTGAATCTGGCATGGAGCAGTCTTGGTATTCTCTGGGCCGCCCGACGATTTCCGTGTTTCGCATCATAGGGTGCCGTGGAGTTATCTGCAGCACCTCGTCACCGACCTGGCACGGGTCTGGATGTAGGAGATGTAGTCGGAGCTGGGACGCGAGACCCTGAGGGCCAGGAAACTGAGTAGAAACACCAGGCCCGAAATGGCATGCTACTTCAGTGTTCGGCATGTGACCAGCTTGGACGTGGTAGACTTTGACTCGGTGTCGCTTCGAACTAGATGCACGTCAACTCTGTGGAGGTCTAGTTGGCCCTTAACCTACCAGCATGCAAAGGGACGAGCTTTGAGAATAAGACTTCCATCAAAACCCAACCCGACCTTGACCATTGAATCTTCCATGGCGTGCTCCTGGCAAATCGCCGTGATCGGAATTCCTGGTGCGAGCCTGGAAGAGTTGGGTTCGGTTCCTAGATCCCAAACTCATCCCAGTTTGGCATCATGGCTGCGCCCTTTGCTCCAAGTGCTGTACAGCCTAGCAATTTTCGGTTTTGTTGGCTTGTGGCATGCCAGGACTGTTACGTTGCTTGGGGACAGCAGGATAAGGGTAAGCTCTGGCACTCGAGGATGAACTCGCCTGACTCGTGCCGTTTAAGGAGAAGTCGGCCACTGAGACAAAGAAGACATGAGCTTGTCTGGACCACTTCTTGCTAGGTGCTTGGATGTACAAGTAGGTCATGTGCACCCTGTGGGTCTATTCTCTGGCATGTATTTGATGTTGCAGGACGGGCCACTTGGAGTCTTGTTGACGCCTGTGCCGACACAGTCGCCATAATACTGTACGTGCTATGAGACTATGAGAGGCATTGCAACAGCTCATTATGTATCATAGCAGCTGACAGCCCTGCCTTTCCAAAGCCGACGTGGCTACGTCAAACTTGACATTTTTATCGTTCGGACACTCCGGCCGAAGAAGCAACCACAAGACACCAATGTTGCCAACAGCCATTTGCCAGTCCATTTGCCGAGCACAGAGCTCAGACGCATGGCGATGGAGGGTCGCAACCTGCTTGTTGCGCCAGGGATAGATCGTGGAACGACCCTGCATTTCTGTTGCATCGTCACGTGAGAGAGTCCGAACATGAACGATTGAGAAGGCAGTCTCCTATGAAAAC